AGTTACATTATGCAGCCAAACATGTGAAAGCTAAAATTAATAAACCATATAATACCAAAGGAAACCAGTAATGTGAAATGGACTGGGGAGAAAATAAGTGAAAAAAGATTTAAACCTAAAGCTTATCTGAAATATTGAAGTGTCCAGTCGGGTTGTTTCCAATCCAGAAGCAAAATATAAGTCAGCCCAGCCTAACAACAAGATGATATAGTGGGGAGGCAATCTCACATTTATTGTCCCTCAGAGAGTAGAGATGTACTTGAGAATACTTTTTTCTGGGATAATTCTTAACTTTATATAATTGGTGAAGATATAATCATTTGACTTGAACTCTGTGTAAGGGGGCCTTGGGAAACAAGCAAATAAACCTGGCAAAAGTCCACATAGACACAACACACCCTATGCCCACTATCCTGTTCTACCTGCATCATTTAAGGTTTCAGAAGATAAACATCTGTCGCTTATAAGAAAGTAAAAAACAAACCTGGAAATAATGAGAAAAGACAAGATGGAGAGCTATTTCCAGTGTCTGAGATGTTTGTGAGATAAGGTACGATCTTATCTTCTTTCATTTCTGGAAATCCTGAATCCAATTAATTACTTTTTCAAACAACAACCTCACTTAAGACAATAGTACCAAATACTTAACTGTTCTTCCTACTTGTTAAGTCCTGCACTCATCCCTTAACCCTGTCATTCAGTTTTCAGTGAAACAATTCTTTGAAGGTCACTAATAAATGTCTAAATATTGTATTTATAAACATATTTCCATCCTTAAATTTTTTGATATATTTGGAATCACCCATTATAAGTTGGGTCCTGTCAGAAATTACAAGTAATACAGGTCGACAGAGCAAATCCATCTAAAGATGAAAATAGTACAGCTGGGACACCAAGCATGAACGAGGACATAAGCAAGCTGCATGACCAGGTAACCCAAACTTCCTTGCCACCTACCAAGGTTGCACTAGAACACCATTCTCAGCTCACACCAATGGTTATATGGACATTCTTATATGAACAATTAAAGAAGGAGGAAAAAACCTGAGCTTTTATGAATAGGTTTATAAATAGGTTGGCTGGATCAGCAGGTTCCAGTTGAAAATGGAAAGCAGCTGCATGATAGCATCACTAAGGGTACCTTGAATAACTAGAGAGCAAAATTTTTTCAAAGTGTGAAGCTTTGAGCTGTGTACTATACAGGAGAGCTCTGAATTCTCCTTCTCTATCATCCACTATTTTAAGTCAATATTCTTAATTTTCATCCACTATTTTCAGTCAATATTCTTAATTTTAAGATAAAATTAAAACTGAATCAAGCTACTTATGTTTTTTAGAGCTACAGGGCAGGAGTGAAAGCAGGCCTAAGGGAAATTCCACAAAAAGATTGGAATTATATCTGAACTCTTCCTGTTCCACAAACAGATTGGAATTATATCTGAACTCTTCCTGTATCTCATCTCCGTTTCTTTCTGAATGTATGATTTTCTCTCTCTCTCTCTTTTTCTGCTTCTCTACTAGAAATGGTTTGTGGAAAACTGACTATCTCTCTCAAGGTTGTTTTTAATATATTTTTATTTATTTCAGAGAGGAAGGGAGGAGATAGATAGAAACATCAATGATGAGAAAAAACCATTGATTGGTTACCTCTTGCACACCCCCTACTGGGGATCCAGCCCGCAACCCAGGCATGTGCCCTTCACTGGAATTGAACCCTGGACCCTTCAGTCTTCAAGCCAACGCTCTATCCACTAAGCCAAACCGGCTACGGCTATCTCTCAAGGTTTTATATGTATATATAAAGGTATGCCATGATCCGACATGAGAGAGACTGAATTTTTAAAATTTGGTGTAAATACGGATTTCCATTCTAAAAACAAAACAAAACAAAAAAACCCTCTAACTGACCCAGCTTAACTCATATTCCAATTTTGGGTCCAAATTGTGTAAAATAGAGTCATCTTACTCAAAATGGTTGCTCAAGGATCAGCCTTGACTTTGACAGAAAACTAGGTCACTATGAACTGAACATTCATTCTCTCAGTTATCCTTCTCTTTTATCTGCTATATAGTTCTATCACCACAAACTATTCCATTCTTCTTTCAAAATTACTTTCATCTACTTATATCTCCAGTCCACCATTTACTGTTTGCTGAAATGATAATTCAGGAAAAGGATATTTTATTATAGTTAAGTCTGCATTCTTTAACTACTGGTGAGGATAAACTTTTTCCCCATGTTATAGATAACTAGAGGCCTGGTGCACAAAATTCGTGCAGTGGGGTGGGGGTGTCTCTCAGCCCAGCCTGCACCCTCTCCAATCTGGGACCCCTCAAGGGATGTCCGACTGCCGGTTTAGGTCCGATCCCTCTCACAATCCAGGATTGCTGACTCCCAACCACTCACCTGCCTGCCTGATTGCCCCTAACCGCTTCTGCCTGCCATCCTGATCACCCCAAAACCACTCCCCTGCTGGTCCTATCACCTCCAATTGCCCTCGCCTGCCAGCCCAGTCCCCCCCAACTGCCCTCCCCTGCCGGCCCAGTCCCCCCCAACTGCCCTCCCCTGCCGGCCTGGTCCCTCCAACTGCCCTCCCTCCCCTGCTGGTTTGTTCACCCACAACTGCCCTCCCCTGCTGGCCTGATTGCCCACAGCTGCCCTCCCCTGCCGGCCATGGTGGCCATCTTGTGGGAGGGTGTGATGGTCAATTTGCATATGACTTCTTTATTATATAGGAGGATTAGTATTTCTGCTTCATTGGTTTGTATTATGGACTGAATTGTGCTCCTCCCTCTCAAATTCATATGTTGAAATGCTGACCCCCAATGTGACTATATTTAGGAATAGGAGACTTTCAAGAGGAAATTAAAGTTAAATGAGGTCATTAGGGTGGAGCTCTGATCTAAGAGAACTGGTGGTCTTACAAGAAGAGGAAGAAACATCAGGAATGCTTGTGTACATTGGAAAGGGCATGTGAGGTTTTCTGAAAATCAAGGAGGTTTCAGAAGACACCAAACCTGTCAACACCTCATCTTAGACTTCTAACCTCCAGAACTGTGAGAAAATAAATTTCTGTTAAGCCATCCAATTTGTGGTATTTTGTTACAGTTTGCCTAGCTGATACAGTTTGCCTCTGTTCATTATCCATTTTTCTTTTATTTTCTTCTGAAAAGAAACAAGCTCTCTAAACATTAGGCTATTAGCCTTTTGTATAAGATAAGTATTTTACAAATATTTTTAATTTACAAATATTGTTCCCAATTCATTTTCCTCCTCACCTTTTTTTACAATATATTTTTTACTGATTTCAGAGAGGAAGGGAGAGGGAGAGAGAAGATAGAAACATCAATGATGAGAATCATTAATTGGCTGCCTCCTGCACACCCCACAGTGAGGATGGAGCCCGCAACCCCCGCATGTGCCCTCATCAGAATCCAACCATGACCTCCAGGTTCATAGGTCAAGGCCAGGCTGGCCAGGGCCCCCCTTTTGTTTTGATGTGTATACTGAATTTTTTTTAGTCTAGTCAAAACTTTCATACCTTTCCTACGGTTGCTTCATTTGAAACTGTGCTTAGAAAGTCCTTCCTATTCCCAGAATGATATTTATATTCACCTATATTTTATTCCAATTTTTATGTCTCCTCTGAATTTTATTTTCATTATATGATGTAAGATAGAACAATTCTTTTTTCATATAGCTAACCAATTATCCCTGTATCCCTTATTCATCTTCCCATTTATTTGAAATGTTATCATTTCCTAAATACTTACATGCATTTAAAACTTCTGCTGCTTTTTACTTATGGCGTCCGTTAATTCAATAATTCACTTTGGAGATTATTTTTCTATACTTATTAGGAAAAATGAATTTTCCATCAAGTTCAAGAAACATTATTTTCTCTCAGGTTATTAAAAATACGGGGGAAGTTTTTCACGGTTTTAAATTAGAATACTATCATATAATTGTTTTTAAGTAATGACAAACATCAAAATAAACACTGACAAAATTAACCAAATGATAAGCCAATAAAGGAGAAGGGAGTACCACCTGGTTTAGTTGCATTATCTTACTAGGAAAGAAAAGTAGTACAGAAGAAACTACTTGAGGATGGGCAGTAGGCTTTTTCAGGCTCCTTTTGTGAGAATAGTTGTCCTTAAAAAAAAAAACAATTAAAAAAAATTTTTTTTTCTCCTCCGGGACAGGAGGACTAGATGTTTTTACGTACTGAGTGGTAAGAAGAAAACCTACCGAATGGTGATCAGTGGGCTGAGAGTTGTGTTGTTCTCTCGAGAAAAGGGGATAAACAAGATCTAAGTCGTTCAGGCCGGCAGTGTCCACGTGGCGCGCACGGGGGTGCAGCCCAGCCCGCTCAGGTCCGGTCCGCCCAGCCCGCTCAGGTCCGGTCCGCCTCTAAGGCTACGGTTCCAGGGCGCTCGGGAGAGCGCGAGCGGCTCGGCACCTGCCGCAGCTTCGGCTGCCCCTACCGTCAGCTGTCCGTCTGCTCCTCTCGGCTTTGCATGTGCAAGCCCTTGACCACATTGCAAACGGGAATCGTCTTATCAACGTGGCTTTTGAGACGATGAAAATGAGATTCGAGGACTCGCACTCCCAAAATCACAGTGCAAAGCGCAGTCCCTGCCCACGGCCACCCCTCGCGCACCGCGGCTAAGCAGGTGTGCCTGGGCCGGCGAAGTCGGAGAGGACGCGGCTGACAACCACAGACCCGCGATGGAGACACGGGGAAGAGCCGGGAGTTCCCGCCGGGCTGCGCGGGCCGCTCGGGAACTCCCTCCGAGGTTCGCCGGCGAGAGGCGGGCGCGGGCGGCGGGCCTCCCCGAGAGAAAGCCGGCTACGACTTTCGAGGGCCACGTGGTGAAGCTGTTAAACACTAGGACGAGCCCTTCAGGCAACACCGTGTAAGGAACATGCGGCAAAACTCTCCACTCAGCGCGGCTCCCGCTCTAGAAGCTCCCGCGCCGCCCAGCACTTCCCGGCAGCCTTTGCGCCGCGCACAGGGAAGCCCTGGCGCGCAGTGGCCGCTTCGGCCGCCGTCCGCTCCGAGTTGCTATGGTAACCCAGCCGCCATCACTATGTCGTTGCCACAAGCCTCTCGGTCTCGGATGTTCGTGGAACTGGTTCCCTGGGCGGACCGGAGCCGGGAAAACAATCTGGTCTCGGGCGGAGAAGTGCTGCCCATCCCCCGCCACCCGCTCTCCTCGGCGCAGGCCCAGACCTCGGCCCGCGAGGTGCACGTGAGCGGCGCCGCGGAGGTGTCTGCGAGTCCGGACCGGGCGCAGGTCGCCGTGCGGGTGAGCAGCACCAAGGAGGCGGCGGCCGAGGCCAAGAAGAGCGTCTGCCGCCGCCTGGACTACATCACGCAGAGCCTCCAGCAGCAGGGTCTGCAGGTGAGAGCTCTACGCGGAAGGAGGGGTCGGAAGCCGGGTCGCAGACAACAGATGGCAGAGCGTCTGGTCCCGATGGCGGCTGGAGCGGGGGTGGAGGGGCTTGAGCATCGGAGGCGGCTTTGTCGCAACGGGATCACAGGCGCCAGGACCTGGCAGCGTGAATCCTCAGCCCATCCCTCTTGAGGAAGGTGATTACTGGCTGCGGTGACTTCCAAAATGAGACCATGCTTATTGAGTATGTATATATATATATATATATATATATATATATATATGCTACATATATTTGGTCCACTGAAACGCATGCTGTGCATATGCCTCTTTCCTGCAGCGACTGCAACAAGCAGCAAGGATGCATCGGCCTCCGGCAGTGGCGGGAGGAAATCCGGTCTTCATGGTGACGGCGACGCCCTCATCATATCTCTGCTGCTGTC